CTTCCCGTACCCGCGCGTAACACGCACGGCCCCGTGAAAATTTTTTACGGGTAAGTTAATATCTCGGGGACTCGGAGTCTAGGAGGCTGAAATTTTAGGGTAATGACCCCCTGCCCACGCTCAACCTTGCCTATTCAAGTTCAGCGTTCCCGCGCTTTTAATTATTACCTACGGCCTCGTGAAAATTTGGCGGGTACACTATTAACTCGGGAATCGCGGAGAGATATTCACCCTTCAAGGTTTCGAATTCAGCTTTCATGCGTTGGTGAGTGAAATTTTTAGCTGTTTTCCAGTGTTTGAACTATTTTTGCATAGACTAAAGTACAAAACAGTGAAAGTCATTAACAGGCAATCGTTCGATGGGCTGAATTGCACAAAACGCATTATCGCACCGGCTAGTCTGGTGCGCCTTGCTATTTGTTTGCTTTTGCCTTCTTCCAACTTTTAAAATATTTTTCTCTGTGTTAGTCCCAACTTCCCAACATCCTTGAACCTACGGATGCTGCTCTGACATGTACGCTTTAACGTGACCCATTCTATTCCAAAAAATCCTGTACTTCAGCGCTGCCATCGTTTTCCAGGGAATGCTTGTCACCCGTTTTCTGCCGATTTCTTTTCTGGAATTTATCATCGAAAATTTCCATCAGAAATTGCGTACAATAGAATCATTTATGAATTATTTTTATGCATTTTCTATGGATTGTTTAGGTGGAACAGTGGAAGCGTACGCAGGGCCCCGTGCTGCTACACCATGCCATTGTGCACAAGTTTGTACAGAATGCAGATCTGCGAACGAAACTTCTGGAGACAGGCAATGCTCTGCTGGCGCATACCTACGAACGTGACAACATCTTTGCAACTGGCTGCGACAAGGACAAAATGATGGAGTGGGCCAAGAACAACAACGGACAGATCATTAAGGTTGTGCTCATTCCTGAAACACTGCACAAAGTATAGATCGGGCATCGGTGTAGGTCTTGCCGCAGTTTTTGTCTCTACCGGCACCGGTTTTTCTGGCAAATGCTTCTAGCTAAATAAATTAAGACAGGCCGCCAGAACTGTCAGGAAACATCCCACTAAAAACTCAGCTTTCTAACTTTCCAGTTCCCCGAGTTAGCAACTTACCCGGAAAAAATCTTGGCGGGCCCATACTTGGGTGCCACGCACACCCAGTGTCTTGGTTTGAGCTCATTAACACCTACTTGGATGGGAAACACCCCTTAACATTCAGATCCTCTAGCTTCTCTGGTTCCCGAATTAGCAGCTTACCCGAAAAATTTCACGGGCCCGTACGTGCGAACCATGCATAACCGGTGGCTGGGTTTGAGCCCATTAATACCTGCACAGGTGGGGAACACCCCCTTAAAATTCCAGCCTTCTAGCTCAGGTTTTCGAGTTACGAGCTTACCCGAAAAAATCGGGAGGCCCGTACGTGAGTACTAGCGTGCCCGGTGACTGGTTTGAAGCTCATTAAGACATACGTGGGCGGGAAACATACTCCTAAAATTTCAGCTTTCTAGCTTTTCTGGTTCCCGAGTTAGCGACCTATGCGTAAAAAACTTCCACGGACCCGTACGTAGGTACCACTCGAGTAAGACTGCCCATTTTGGAGATTGGAGCTCGTACTCGCATGTAGATTAAGTTCCCAAAGTTTCAGCCCTGTAGCTTTTGTGGACCTCGAGATGAAAAATCGGTACAGACGCACAGCGCACACACAGATAAAGACACACACACACACACGCTGACAGCCTATCGTCAGTATGCGTGTTCTGCATTGCACAGCTGCAAAAAAACGCATAAAAATAGGTCTTTATCAGGTTGCTCATTCAGTAAAAAAGTAAACAGCAGGTTAATGCGAACTTTGAGCTTGAAATTTTGACACAAGATTGTTGAAATCTAGATTTATATCACTGACACAGAGTCTCAAAGTATTTTCCATACTGCCCTCTGTTAGGCTCGTGCATATTTTAGTTTTATTTTCATGAGAGTATGCAGTGGCGTAGCGGAATACAAACCCCTGTTCATCTAGTTAGGCATCACATTCCGATCTTTTGCACAGGGCGGATTAAAACTGATCGACGGATCCGGCTCGCGGGCCATACGTGTTAAAGATGGTTTAGGTTGACAATGATGTTAAGAAGGAGAGCTCGACCAGCAAAAGTTAAAGCAGTGATTTGCGCCCCACCGAATGGACCCAGTTCCGGAGGAGTGGTGAGTGGGTACCGGATCGGATCTGGAAAGTTTTGCATACCACAGAATACAGCGCTTCAGAATAAGAAGTCTTTGAAGCAACATCTCAAATTGACGGTCTCAGTTAGTCTTTACCATGTCAGCTGCATCGAATCTGTACCAAATAAATCCCGAACCGGATTTTGCGTAGAAAAATCCCGAACCGGATTGTACGTTTGGACACAAGCCAGGGGCGAAATTTTTGTCGTTTATTGCAGATTCCGACCAAAATCGACACGGGGACGCTAGTGTACATCCCGCTTGTTGGCGAAGGCAAGAACATTCTTGGTTGCATCAACATGAAGGTAATTTGACTTACTTAAAATCCTAAATTCTGTTTGAGTTCCATTCATTGAGTGTGTTTTGAGGTTTTATTGTTCAGTGAATGTGTTTTGAGGTTTTGCTATTTCGAAGAAGTTTGATATTGGTAGATTTCAGAGAACTGTTTT